AGGCTCATATTTAGCATATTTCAAACAGTGGAAATGTTTTATACTCATGACATGGAGAGTAATCTTGAAAGACTGACCCACTTACTGACACCTCACATTATACAAATTGGCAACTCTGGATTTTATCTACATATAAAATCAACCTCTTGATGGATTCAATCTCCATGGATTAAGAACAATATAAGCCCACACATGAAAGGCTGAGCTAGCACAAGTATACATTAATAAAACCACTTGTTTGCATACTAATGCATTTCTGTAAGTAGTTTTGTTGGATTACTTGGAAAGAAATGCCCGATGTATGTTTTAGATACATTTGATGACGAAAAGCAATTGAAGTAGAGGCAGTTATGTCACCTTCTTTGGGATTGGGACCTGTGGCTTAATGATCTCTTAGAGACAAAATGAAGAAATTGTTAGCTCTTCCTCAAGATCATAGCAGTGTTAAAAGTGGTGACCTTTTCTGGATTATCTGGGCGGAATGTTATTGTGTTATTCATTCTATCACAGATAGGCTGCAGAGACAACACATTCAAGGGGAAAGAACACCTTTATGAATACAGCTTCCTTTCTTTAACTTCCTTCACAGCTCAGCTTAAGCAGCATGGAAAGCTCTTGCTTCTCTTTAGCTGTTTGCTTCCCTTTAGCTGTTTGCTTCCCTTGTGGATTTATGATTGTTTAGTATTGAAACACTGAGCACAATACAAACCTACCTTGAACTGATGACAGCTTGGGCAGCTGGTTTCAGTCTTCATTTTCATTCTGAGCAGCAGCCAGAGCTGTATGAACACATAAGCTCTCCTCCAATGCCCTCATCCTCTCTCCTTCCTTCTTTCTTATTTTATGTTCGATTGTGTATATATGTGTGGTTGTGTACACATTAATGCATATGCTCAGAGAGGGCAGAGGCCTCAGATCTCCTGGAGCAGCAGTTAGAGGAGGTTGTGAGCCACTGAGCATGGGTGCTTGGAACTGAACTTGGGTCTTTTGGATGAGCAGTATTCTCTCTTAACCTCTGAGCCATTTCCCTAGCCCCACAAAGGCAACTTTTTTACATCAGTCTTTTTTTTTTAAACAACAAACACGTCCTTTTTTGTTTCATTTAAAAGTATTTAAGACACATAAAACAAGGCGCCATTTATTTTTTTCTTTTCATCTCTGAAAGGCAGTCTGTGGCTGGCTCCTCTGCTGTTGCTCTGTTGCTCTCTGCTCTCTGGTTCCTTCTTTCTCCTTGCTGGAAAAGTCTGTCTATCTCATTAAAGTTGTCTTTTGGGCTGGCTTCCTGTGATGCACTGACTCAGAGGCTCCTGTGTCGTTTTTTGCTCTGGGCTCAAGGCTTTCACTGTTTCAGGGTCCCCCGAGTCTCTCTGAGCATCTGGAAAAACTTGAAGAAAAATGCTTCCTCTGAAGATGGTCTCAGCTTAATTTCTCCCCTGTGACTTTCTGTCAGATGTCTCCTGTCCTCTGGAAAATTTCTGTGAGATGTTCTCTGCTTTCTGCAATGTTGATAGTCTTTCTTTTTCTCCAGTCTTGTTGGGGTTTCCTTCCAGCCATGTTGAATGCCAGATGTAAAAGTATCTTTTACTCACCTGATGTAATTGTTGTCTTGGAGGCTGACTGCCTCTGTCTGCTAATGCAGGCCTGGTCCTGGAAGCTTCTAGCCTCCATTTGATCTAACCTAGGCCTGGAATACGTTCAGCCTCTGAGACTTACTGCTGAATAAGCTCATTCTTTCAAGCTCTTTCTGAACTCTGGCTGGCTGGTTCACCTCAGCTGTCCTGGCTCAAAACTCTCTAAGCAGACCCTTTCAAACTGGCTTCTCTCAACTTCTGACCGAAATGCTCTGCTTGGCCTCAAAATAACTCTAGCAATCTGTGCTAACCTTCTGGCTCATTCTCATTTTCTGGCTTGTTCTGTTTTCAATTGTGTCTAGCTTGTTTTCTTTACAACCTGTTTCTGTGAAACTCTCCCAGTAAAACTGCCTTCTCTCTCTCTGGGATGCACTTTCTTAGTTAAGTCACCTCTCTTTCCTCTCTGTTCTCTTGAGAGTTGGATATATCCTAGTCTGTCAAATCTTTATCTGATTAGTCACTTTGTCTGCCTCTTAATTAGATAACACTTTCAAACATGGGTGCTCCTACAAACTAACTTTGTCTTCATTGCTTGAGATTAAAGTTGTGTATTAAGGGCTTGTCTGCATTCCAGCCAGATCACAAAGACCTAAGAAGTTATTTGGATATGATCAGAGCAGCCATGTTTCTGGATTAAAAATTCCTCTACACTGTAGTCTTAAATAGAGGAAAATAGCAGAGTCAACCATGGTAAACGTACATAGTCAAAATAGGGAATAGGTAGAAGATGGGTATGCTTAGGGTACCAGGCAAAGACCCACTCACTTCTACAGTTGAGAGGATAATCCTGAACCGTGGCTTAAGAATATTTAGAAAGACTAGTTTAATATAGAAGAGGTGGTACATTTACACAATGGAATGCTACTCAGCAATTGAAAACAAGGAAATCATGAAATTTGCAGGCAAATGGAGGGAACTAGAAAAGATCAGCCTGAGTGAGGTAACCCAGATGCAGAAAGACACACATAGTATGTACTTACTTATAAGTGGATATTAGTGATATAATATAGGATAAACTTACTAAAATCTATATCCCTAAAGAAGCTAAACAACAAGGAGGACCCTAGGGAAGATGCTTAATCCTCATTCAGAAAGGCAAACAGGAGTAGGGGAAGTAACAGAAGACAAGGAACAGGACAGGAGCCTTCTACAGAGGACCTCTGAAAAACTCTACTAGGGTATCAGAATTGATACTGAGAATCATAGCCAAACTTTGTCCAGAGTGCTGGAATCCTTATGGAAGAAGAGGGAGATAGAAAAACCTGTAGGGGACAGGAACTCCACAAGGAGAACAACAGAGCCAAAATACCTGGGCCCAGGGGTACCTGCAGAGACCATGCATGGTGGGGACCTAGAACTCCTGCTCATCTGTAGCCCATGACTTCTCAGTCTCCTTGTGGGTTCCTTAATAAGGGGTACAGGGGCTGTATCTGACATGAACTCAGTGGCTGGTTCTTTGATCAACTCCCCCAGCAGCCTTGCCAGGCCACAGAGGAAGATGATGCAGCCAGTCCTGATGAGACCTAATAGACTATGGTTAGATGGAAGGGGAGGAGATCCTCCCTTATCAGGGGAGTAGGGAGAGGGCATAGGGTGAGAAAAGGGAGGAGACAAGGGATGCAGCTGCAGTGGAGATAAAAAGTGAATAAATTGTAATAAATAAAAATATAAATAAAATTAAAGTAAAAAATGTTAGGAATTTAATACATTTTAATGCCTTTTGGGTAAATTTCTCCAATATAATCCTATTTTATTTTGATAATCATAAATTATATAAATTTATTTTATAGTAAATTTCACTAAGTAGGTTGTTATTCAGAAGTTATTATTATTATTATTTATACTTTTTATTGTTTTTTGGTGAATTTCCCATCATGCATCCTAGTCTCATTCGTCTCCCCTTTCCCTCATACCTACCCTTTCAATCTGCCCTCTCCAACAGAGAAAAACAAATCTCACTGTGGAAGCTGTAGTGTATCACAGTGTGTCCCACAGTGTACCCTTTTGTCCACACTTCTTTGCTTGCAAATGTTTATTGAAATGACTCTTTGGTCTGATAGGAGACTCCTGACTTCTGCTCCTCTATCATACTGGAACTTCACTGGGACTCCTCTTGGATATCCTGTTGTTGCCCTTTATCATAGAGATCCTGCAGGACTGGCCACTTCACGAATTGCAGCAGTCCGTCGATGGAGTAGAGGTTGGGGTGAGCCAGTTCAAAGCTCTGGATCTGAGCTTGAGAGGTACCTGAGCTAGTCAGCCGCTGGCTTTCCTGCTCCCATGCCTTTGGGACTGGCTTATCAGCAACCTCTACAACCAGGGCCAGCTCTATCCTGCTGCCTAGGGGAGGTACAGGACCCAGACTCCAGAGTGTGGCAACTGGTGAGGCACATGATTAGTTCTTCCATTCTCATGACCCCAGGACAAGCTCTCCCACCCACCATAGATGGTGAGGGTTCAAGAAGGGGAGGAGGGCATCTCTTCCTCATCTGAGCCACTGCCCAGCAGAGAAGAGGCAAGGCCAACTCTCCTGTGCTCACCCCCTTCGGGCTGGCTCCCATGCAACCCCCACATTCTAGGCCAGCTCTACTGTGCTGCCCAGGTGATGGGCAGGGTCAGCTTTCCCTGAATGCTGCAGCAGGTGAGGAGGAGGACCAGCTCTCTTGCCTTCATGACCCTAGGGCCAGGTCTCCCTCCTGCCACATGTGGTGAGGGGCAAGGAGGGGGCAACATGGGAGAAAAATGGGGGCCAGCTCTCCTAAGTCTGCATCCTCTGGAGCCAGCTCTCCCAAAACTCCCAGTGTGCAGGGGCAGGCCCTCCTGGGTACTGCAGCTGGTTAGGGTCATCTTAGGAGTGGTCTCAGGAGTACTATGCCCTGTTTGTGCATTATGGCACTGGGCAGGGGTCATCTTGGGTATGGTCTTCCCCTACCCGACCCCACTTCCAGTCCTGTGGGGCTCCAGACTGGTGGTCACCTCAGCCTTGCTTTTTTTTTTTTTATTAACTTTTCATTTTTTTTTAATATTAGTTACAGTTTATTTACTTTGTATCCCAGCCGTAGTCCCCTTCCCTCATTCCCTCTCAATCCCACCCTCCCTCTCTCATCTCCTCCCTGTCCCTCTCTAAGTCCACTGATAGGGGGGATCTTCTCCCCTTCATCTGACCCTAGCTTATCAGGTCTCATCAGGACTAGCTGCAATGTCCTCCTCTGTGGCCTAGCAAAGCTGCTCCTCCCTTAGTGGTGGTGGTGGTGGGGGGTTTCCAAAGAGCCAGCTATTGAGTTCATGTCAGAGACAGTCCCTGTTCCCCTTACTAGGGAACCCACTTGGATACTGAGCTGCCATGGGCTACATCTTTTCAGAGAGTGTTTAGGCTACCTACTAATCATTCAGATGTTCATAGTTCAGACTACTGAGTCTGTCTCCCCTCTGCCACCTGCTGAGGCACATGTGACACAGCAGCCGCACCTGCACCTGCGATGCCTCTAAGGGCAGGCAGAAGCTATTAGTAACCAAAATAACTGTTTCTGAGAATTTGATGGGATAAAATAAGAAGAGCTGAAAAAATAAAAAGCAAACAAGCAAATGAGACTAACCCAAAAAAAAAAAAATCTCACTAGGACCAAAGCAACTTAAAGAAAGAAGAGTTTGGCTTGACTTATAATTCCCGAGGGCAGAACCAGCATGGCAGCGCGCAGCAGGCAGCATTTTTGATAGTGAGAACAGGAAGCTGAGAGCTAACAGGCTTATTGAAATCGAGAAGCAGGGAGCAACCGGAAGTGAGACTTTCTAATCCGAGACACAGCTCCTGGTAACATACTTCCTGCAGCAAAGCTAAACCGCCTCTTCAAGCAGTGCTGCCAAGTGGGGAGAAAGTGCTCAGATGCCCAAGACCATGGGGACATTTCTCATTCCGACCGCCACAGTCTGACGAAATTATGCTTTCTGTCAGTCCGTCTTTGGAATTTTTGGTAACCGAGCTAGCTTCGAGTGCCCAACTTAAGAGCCATTCACTGACAGAATGAATTCACTCAACCGCTTTATCACTTTGACCCCATTACGGACTTTGTAAACAATTCACTCATTGTCTCCTTTAGTAGCTCCATGTCTTTAATGAGATTATAGATTGAAAGATGTCAAGTGTTTCCATAGTTGCAATTCATTTGAATTTTGGTTTAGAAGGGGAAACAGGGTCATTACAGGCCATTATGACAAAAATAAAATAAAATAAAATAAAATAAAATAAAATAAAATTAAATTAAATTAAACGGAACAAAGTTCCCAGGAAAGAGAACAAAAGAACAATACCATGAACATTCACAGTCTTCATGAAATTGGAAAGGAAACAATCCAATTAAAGTGTGAGACACGAGATAAGCTCTTCGGAGGCTGGCAGTTATTGCATCCTCAGGCAGTTCAGTTTTAGTTAGGAACAATCGGGGAGCCTCTCGGTTCTGTCACATAGAACACTAATGGGCAGAACAGTCTGATGGGTTCTTCCAGGATGGATTTCAAACCTCGGTAGAACTTATCAAGAAATGTAATATAAGACTGGATTTTAAAATTCATTCTCTCTGAGTGTACATCTGTGTTGCGACAATTTAGCTAATCGGTATTAGAATGTAATAACTTGAGTCAACAAGTCTGAGGAATTCATTGTAAGTGCCATCACGCAGTGATAAAAAGAGGAGATGCCTGACATTTTTGCAAAACACATTTAGGTTTTTTTTTTTTTTTTTTTTTTACCTTTACAGTCTAGATAAAAGTAAACAGGTGAGGACATATTTTTAACATTGCTTCCTCTCAGCAATTACTGTCCCATTTAGCCAATTCCAATGTTTTATTTAATTCCAATAATTTCTCCCTTTTCTCTAGTCTTCATACAATTTCTCAGAACCTCATCATGTGTTTTAATGATTATAATACGACAGAGATAGAACACAAAAGTGAGATCAGCAGTCCCTCTACCCTTTCCTACTTGTTCCTTCTCCCAGGTTTGACAAGTACTGCAAGCAGAGGCATTATATGCCATTAAGTCTGGGGAAGATCAGCTTTGGGAGAGTGTAGGTGCCTCATGGAGATCTTAAAGTAGTAATTGCTTAATCTAATCATGTACACATCCAGAAAAGAGCATTCAGACTACTTGAAACAAGGAAACACAATTTCTTGCTTTTCTTTTGTTCTTTAGTGTACTAGCTGGGTTTGAAATAAACATTTTACATTTCTCCTGGGTGAATTTGCTGGTTAAAACTTCCTGCTCAAAAAAAAAAACAAACAAACAAACAAACAAACAAACAAACAAACAAACAAAAAAACCTTCTTGGTTATAAAGACATGAAAGTCAGTTAGTGGTGGCTATGTTATTTATTCAACATCTATTCAGTAATGCTTAGTAGAGTATCAGTCATGTATTAGACATTATTCTGAAAACTAGTTTATATTTTATATAAATTAATTGAGAGATGTATAAGGAGAAATGTATATAATTTAAAACAGAAATATTTATCTAGGTAGCTATTGATGTATGAACAAGTAAAGAAAATGTGGCATATTATATAAAATGGAATGCTATCCAGCTATAAAAGAATGACATTCTGTTATTTACAGAAAAATGTACAGAACAAAAAGACATGCACTGTAGAATTGTCTAGACCCAGAAAGACAAATACTGAATGACTGGTCTCATATATTAAAACTGAAAAAGTTGAATATGATTATTAGAATCTGAGAAGAAGAGGGGTAAAGGGAGAGTGGACAATGGGTCCTAACACTGAAAGAATAAATCCTGTGTGTCTCAGAGCAGTAGAATTAACAGCTCACTGTAACCTATATATTGTTGTGAAGAGCTAAAAGAGAGGAGCTTGAAGACTAGTAGTGTAAAGAGTGATTAGAAGGAAATACGAGCCATCATGATTGGGCCAGGGCGCACTGAATGTATGCATTGAAATTTCACAGCGTGTTCCACTGCGGTCAACGAGTGCATGTTGGTACACCGCCCCCTCACTCCAGAAATACGGCTTGAGAAAAGTCTTATGACAGAGAGAAAGCAAGTCATGAGTGAAGGTTGAGAATAAGAATATTTTAGAAAGAGATCTTTGGCTCTCAGGTTAGTTTGCCCAAGTGAATTTGTTAAAGAAAGATGGCTGCATACGAGGAAAGGGTGCTGTAGAAGCTGAGACTTGAAGGAGAAGCACTACACCAGGATGCTCTGCTCATGGCTGCTTCCCATCTGAGGTGGCCAGAGCTCAGAGGAGAGCTGAGTGAGGCAAAGACCCATCCCAAGTAGAGAGCTTCCACCCAAGTAGACCCTGTGTATCATTTGTACTCAGGAGACTATGGAGGCTATTAACTTTGAAGTACCTGTGGAGCAGAGACTTGAGGACTATAGCTATGGATGAATTGTTGGGCAGAATCTTGGAACCCTGGTTTTAACCTGTGTGTGTGTGTGTGTGTGTGTGTGTGTGTGTACTAACGGATCCTGTGTGTGTGTATGTACTAACAGTGCTTGAATTGAGCTTTTTTTCCTTGAAGCAATATTATGTTGATTTAGAGTAAAGTGGAAGAATTTTAAATTTACATGTATGTGAGTTTGTTGAGTGAGATTCATATTGTATGTCTAAATGATTTTTTTCCATTCTACATTACACTCACCCTATTCATTGCAAGTCCCATCCTGATCAAATGGTAAGCATATTTACTTACCTGTTTTGATCTGAAGTTTATTTTAATGCTCTCTGGAGCTTACGAAGGATAGAACCTTTTATGGCAACATTTCAGCAGCTTAAAAAAAAAGCTCACTGGAGAAAACTGAGTTCCCTTTTGCCAGCAGGTATCAATTGCAGAAAGTTTCTTAGTGATGGAAGGGCCGTGTGTTGACTTCCACTTGTCAGTGTTAGAGCCCTGTCTGGCTTGAACCTGGGAATATTGTTTCAGTCTCTGTGAGTTCACATGTGCCTCAGCCTTGTTGTGTCTGGAAGACACTATTTCCTTGGAGTCATCACTCTGGCTCTTAAAATGTTTACACAGACTCTTCTGCATAGATCCCTGAGCCTTGAGGCGAGCTGTTCGATGAAGACTTCTCATTTAGGACTGAGTGCTCTAAAGTCTCTCGCTGTCTGCACATTGGCACTAAGTATAGCAACAGCATTTCAGTGTAGGCCCTATGCCCAGTAGTAGTTGGTCAACATAAAATGAACTCAGTGGTATTTTTGTTTCATTTTTTTATGTCTTGGCTTTTTTTTTTTTTTTTTTTTTTGTCTTACCGGTCTTTCACTTGTTTTGATTTTTTTTTTTTTTACATGCTGTAGAAACACCTTCTGCCAGCTTTGCCTTTTTTTTAATTTAAATTTTATTTTATTTTTGATTACACTTTATTCACTTTGTATCCCCCCTCTAGTTCCTTCCCTCCTCCCCTCCCAATCCCTTCTTTCCTCCCCCTTCTCCACGCATGCCCCTCCCCAAGTCCACTGGTAAGGGAGGGTTTCTTTTTCTTCCTTCTGATCCTAGTCTGTTAGGTCTCATCAGGAAGTCTGTTAGGTCTCATCAGGAGTGGCTGCATTGTCTTCCTCTGTGGCCTGGTAAGTCTTTTTTAAAGAGAAAGAGAAAAAAATGTTAAGTTGGGTGAGTAGAAAGGTGGAGAGGGTCTTGGGAGAGTTGTGGAAGGGGAAAACCCGTCATCAAAATATACTGTATAAAAACATTTTTTTTCAACTAAAATAAGTTTAATAAAAAAATAAGGCAAAAGAAAAATTTCTGTCCTGATGCTTGACCAAGAGAGTCTGGATGTCCCGAGGGGCTGGGAATCTTGGGGCTATCTTAGAATTTGCCTACCAAAGTGAGACAACTGATAATGTTTGAACAATATTTATAGACTCACTAATAGTATTATATTAATTTAAATTTCTGCTTTAATGATTGAACCTTGATGATCTATTAATATTATTAGAAACTGAATAAATAGCTCATGCGAATGCTGTGCTTTACAATATATTTGTAATTTATTATAAATCTAAACTTTTAAAATTTTTAGCAAAAGCATGTGTAATGATTAATTTTAATTATCCTCTTGAAAGGCTGGAGAGATCATTTATCAGTTAAGAGCACTAGCCGCTCTTCCAGAGGATCTAGATTTGATTTCAACCACCCACATGGTGGCTCACATCCATTTGTAACTACAGTTTTAGGGGACTTGAGTAAAATGTGTATTCTTGGGTGTTTGGGTGAAATGAAATTTATAGCTAGCTATTAAGCCCATTTGATCTATGATGTCAAGTAATTCTGATGTTTCCCTGTTTTTTTATATAGATGATCTATCTATTGAAAAAAGTGGAGTATTGAAATTACCTACTATTATTGGATTGATGTTAATTTGTGTCTTTAAATACAATAGTACATTTTCTATTAAACTGGCCACCCCAGGGTTCGGTGCGTATATGTTTAGGATAGTAATGTCTTCTTCGTTAACTGCTCTCTTGATCAGTATGAAGTGTACTTCTT